ATGTGGTCGCTGCATCGACCGTCATAGGACAAGTGGCGGAAGAAGTTGATACGTTTGATGAAGCAGATAGTTTTGAGGGGACTGTCAACTTGAATTTGGATTTTGCTTTTGGAAGAGGTTTGGAAGTCACCCATCTTGTCGGTTTTGTTCGTTTTGTCGATGCGCCTTTTCCTAGATTGGTCTGGATGAATCCGTCATTCTGTATTTCATCGTCGGTCGATGTTACGTCAATTAAATTTTCAAGAGGTCTTTCTAAATTGACAGCCTTGTCAGATTTAGAATTAAAATTTGGATTATTGATTAACTGTGTTACCTGGGTGGTCAGGTAGTCTATTTCACTATTTTGGTCCCTAACTGTCTCAGTCAGTTCCTTTATTTGCTGAGCCTGGCTTTCGATGATCAGGGCCAGGCGCTGGATGGTTCTGTCCTTTTCGTCTGCTACAGCTGGTGTCATCAATTCCTTTGATTTCATGGTAATTTCTCTCACCTTCTGGGGCGTCCATTCATCATCGTGGACGCTGGGGGATCATTACTTTGACCTCCAGAGTCTATCTCCATGTTTTTAAATCGGATTTTCTATTGAAAAACTTTCACGAGCAAAAATATGACGTATTGTCAATTATCACCGGCTTGCTTTCATGCATCAAAAGCTTGAACAGTTAAAATCGGGTTAACTTTTTTTATTTTTAACATTTGATTAAAATATTTTCTTTAAGATTCAAGCCTTATACCCATAAGTCCTTTGAGCTAGAAAAAAAGGAATAAAACCAAACTAGTTACATTATGAAGAATTATTATATTTTGTTATCATCTTTATTGAATGGGAATTATGTTTTAAAAATCACATCGTCTAAATGCAATCCATTACGATCACGGCACTCATATAAACGACGTCTAAAATTGTCGATGACTGCGCGGCAAGTCAACACTGTAATGCTTGCCATTTCTCTTCGGATATTTTCTTTCAGGACATCAACTGATCGCGGAGTGGTGTCGTACACTTTACTCTTGAGGTAGCCCCATAAAAAGAAGTCCATTGGGGTCAAGTCTGGTCTACGTGGTGGCCAGGAAATGTCTCCTCTTCGAGAAATTACTTTGCTGGGAAAAAGTTGACAGACGACGGGCATAGAAGTGTTGGAGGTGTGGGCAGTTGCTCCGTCCTGTTGAAACCACGTCTGCGCATTATAGCCTGGAAAATTCTGCAACGCTGTTGTCAAAAACTCCTCTATCATTGCTACATACCGCTCCGAAGTAACAGTTAATGCGCGACCTCTGTCGTCCTCAAAAAAATAAGGGCCTACGATGCCATGCGCTGACATAGCAGCCCAAACTGTAACTTTAGGGCTGTGTAAGGGCTTCTGATGCTTACGCCTTGGATTTTCGGGGCTCCAATAACGGCAATTTTGTTTATTCACATGCCCGTTTAAATGGAAGTGAGCCTCGTCCGAGAACAACACATTATTGAGCGAAGAAAATCGATTCAACATTTCATTCGCAAAGTTAAGTCTCTGAATAGCGTCATTATCTTTCAATTCCTGCACTAACTGAATTTTGTAAGCGTGCAGACGTAAATCTTTCCTTAAAATCAGCTGTAAAGATGTTCTGGGTACGTTTAGTGCACTGGAACGCTTACGAGTAGACTGGGTAGGATTTTGACGAACAGACTGTGCCACAATGTTGATGTTTTCTTCAATACGAGTTGTCCTTGGTCGACCCCACCGCTGTTTATCTAACGTCGAACCAGTCTCTTCGAACTTAGCAACCCAGTTCTTAATCGTTTGAGCTGTTGGACACTTTGTAAAATTGTGTAAATTGTGGTATTCCCGATATTTACGCCGCGCAATGGTTGCCGAAACATTATTTTGATAAAACGCGCGCACACAAAAAGCACGATCCGCTCCAGTGAAACACTCCATGGCGACTGAATTCCCAGACACTAAAGATACTGCCCCCACCTCGCCCGCGCCGCTCACGCTCACCCGTTAAATTTTATTCAAATTTGAAATTTCAAAGGACTTATGGACCACCCTGTACTTGCTTTCGTACGTGTTATTGTTTTTTTTTTCGGTTTTCAGATCATACACGGAAACTATAAAAATCAATGATAAAAATTTGTGTAATTTCAGATGATCTTTAAAAGCAGAATTTGAAGACAAGTACCTATCAAATATCTAACAGATAAATTGCCAGATAAATTGTCTATATAATATGGAATTATTTAATACTGAATGATTGTTGAATCACATGTGATATGAATGATCTAATACCGATGCTTAATTATTTCATTCACACCCGGTAATATTGTATGATTGTATAGAATGTATAACAATAAAAATAATGTCTTTATAAATAACCAAGAGGGACGTAAACAGCGAAATTTAGCCAAGGCTACTCTTACTCTTAACTGTTTATGGCGGTTACATTAGATGTAACATAAACACATACCTAACTAAGAAAAAAAAAACACATTTTGCATCTGTAGTAATAGAACTTGTGGCTTGCACAATATTTTGACGGTGGCCCATAGGCGGTCAATATTATTGTACATTTTGGTTTGTACGAAAGATTGTACCGTATGGAGGCGATATTGAAGGTTGTAAATATAATAAATATTTGGCGCAATCGTGAGCACAGACGTACAACCACATTGTGCAAACAGCCCTCGTCAGAATTTCATGCACTTAACATGTTGCGAGAAAGTGATTTGTATTGCGTGGTAATTGCTCTGGCCATAAGTGCAAAACAAAGAAAAAAGGCTCAGGCTTATTGATAAGAAAAAGTATTGTTTAGGGTGGTATCCTTTTTCCAAATAAGAATTGATAATGTGGGTGATATGGAAAAAGTCACTGGTAGACTTACTGTGACCATGGTTAATGAGATTGTGTCAATTTCTTTGGCATCTGATTTAAGGTCTCTAATGGCTTCCAATATTTAAACCGGCTGGACAACTCGCAATTAGAAACGATTTCTATAGTCCAATTTGTTACTGTCATAAAATCGTCATACATTTTCCGAGACATTGTCGTACCTATAAACTGACATTTTGGCCAGTCAGATTCTGAATTTTACAGAGTGCTCTATTTCATAGCTGTTTGTAATGATCAAGATCTTCTGTTTTACTAAATTTGTATTTACTTAGAGCAGAATCCTTATCTTTAAACCGCTTTTTTTGTTTACAGCTATGATACCACTGAATACAAAACTAAAAATTTTTATAATGTTTCTCATAATTTTAGAAAGTGCGTAACTTTGTTAATTAAATTTGACTGGATACCAACGTTTGTTTTTTTAATACGGTTATAACTAACCATATTAGTTTTTTTTATAAAAATGTAAAACTATGTAATTGAAAACAAAATAATGTAAAAACAAGGCAAAAAAATAGATTTTTTATGTGAAAAAAATACAATGGGGTCAAACTTGACGCTGCCATGTTATAAATGTTACTATTTTTGGCCATGGTAGTTGAGGGTTAATGAAAGCATCAAAGTCAGATAAAAGAGACCGTACGCTTAAATGTCCTATTCTTAACTCTTTAATCGTCATAATTAACTATTTCTAAGATTATCATAATGAGAAACATATTATACAGTACATGACGTATCACTTGCTTTATGTGCTACGTCGGATTTTGTATGAAACTTACTATTATAGTTAAGGCAGTTTGTACATTTTTCTTTGTTAGCTTTGCAGTCCCTAACACTATGTTTTTTTGCGCATTTGATACAAGATACAGACCACTCTGTTTTTAGAACTGTGACCATAGGCCATTCACAGCAATTGAGGCCTTGCAGAACATTGATGTGGTCAGAGATGTAATGTTTCATCCAACCCATGTAGACAAACCCCTTATCAATAATGCTCTTTCTTACCGTTGGTGGAACTTCTATTACCAGCTGCACTTGATAACTATTCCTCGCTTTCAGCTTTGTGCCTATTTTCATGGTTGACAAGTTTTCCTCACCTAGATCATTCAGCATCACAACCTTACGGAGTATCTTTGTGTTGTCGCTAAGGTCGTCATTGAGAGTGACATTTTTTATAAGTAATCGGGAATTATTCGTCTCGGACTTTTTTATCTGACACCCTCTGCCCATTTTTGACTTTAGGGCGGATACATCCCTGCAGTAAACTGCCTTGTTTCGTTTTCCTGGTCCCACCAACCCTAACGTCTAGATGTTCTAGATTCACGCTGTTTTTTATTGATTTAATCGCATCAGAATTTCTGTTATTGCCATCCGTTTTTACTAGAAGGACAGTTGTCTGGTTGTTCACCAGTTCTTTCAGCACACTACTTACGATAAATTCGGTGAACCAGAAATATCTTGAGAAACTGCTACAGTTTTTGTAGTAGCTGGTGCAAAATTAGTTTCTAATTTTGATTTTTAAAAAGTGTTAGTGAATTCAAATTCGTTCATTAATTTTTCTAGCAGCTGTTTTCCATGTTTCCAACATTCTATTTCCTTGGTTTAGATAGTAATAGTCGCATTTTGTTCATTGAGGTCTTGAATAGTTTTTACATTACCAACACACATTTTCACTTTTTTGCAAATCATCTGTTATCGATACATACTGACTGTGATAACGTTTTTTGCAATTTTTGGAACTCGCGTTAACAATAAAATTGAAGGCGCAAGTGGATAAGGGTGTAATGTACCATTTTCTTAAAAATTGCTTTTTTGCATTAATCAAACCTCAAGGAGTGATTCTTCTATTCTGTGATTACTTTATTGCAAAGACAAGATAGTAAAAAACTAATTAAACTAAATATTTAAAAGGTCAATAAAGTAAAAAGTTCCAATGAAAAATGTGTCATTTTTTCCATTCAATGATTTTGTTACATGACATTTATTCACTTGTGTCTTCAATTATCGGAGCAGCGCACGCACACGTGTACATGTCACTTGTTCTTAACAAAATTCAAATATTTATAGATGTTATGAATGAAAAATTATATAACAGCCCAATGCACGTGTATACCATAATAGAATCATACTAACCTGGTGGATATCCTGGAGGTCTTCCGTATTGCCTGATTAGGTAAGCCAATAGCAAAGAGATGCATATGATTATGAGACCGAAGAGAACTGCTGTCATGTTCTACCTTCTATACGCTTGTCGCCGTCGCGACGTCCCCTGAAAAAACAAACGCGCGTTCCCGGTTGTCGCGAACTGGCTTTTAAACTGCCGGGCTAACAAACGGACCCAAGGTTTATCTCACTGTGCTTAGATGGAACAGGGACGGACCGAGCGACTTTATGCCACTTTTATCAACTATCACCGGAAATGGACATTCAATGAAAAAAATCCAAACATCGCCGGAGCAATTGTATCGATCATTACAAAATACTTTTAATTGACGGAAATACTTCCTTTTTTTCTTTTCTTTTCCTTCCCCTTCAAATAATAATATTACCTATTTTGCAGTACCTATATCATATTTTAAAAAACATAAACGCAATTCAATTAAAATTTATCTTCTTGTACAGCGCTTATTATTAAGTAACGAGATAAGCTGATTAGTTCACTAAAACTGTTGTTATACCCACTAAGTATTATCCAATTATTACTAAACTATCACAGTATCAGAACCTTCGCCAACTATCAACCGATAAAAGACAGCACTTAAACATAAACGCGAATATATCGATAGATTATCGAATTACAACGGTTATTACAGGACAGAAATACATTAAAAAACACGTAAGTGTAGATAAATTTACTGTAATCGTTCAGAAGAGAAGGTTCCAAAAAGTATGGATGTTTTCACCACCGATAAACAGAGTTAGATATATCTGTATTACAAAATTTCCATTTCAGACATTCCAATGTTCTAGTTAACGGTATTTTGCTCTGTTGCCATCATTCGCAGGTGGACAGCCAAACAAACATTTGATATATATATATATATATATTCGCCAACTATACAAAGTGAGGACACGCCGTGTAAAATTCACGTACAAAGTGAGGACCGCGAGAGACCCTATGAATCGTGTTCCCCAACCTGAATAAGAAAACGTGAAAAACAGATGGTCCTTAGTTTGTACCCAGCACATTAAAATTTGTATATCGTACTTGGGCGTTCCGCCGCACCCGGCGCTGCGCGCGCCGATATACTTTCCGTACGTGTATATTTTGCAGTCAGTGGAAAACCATGCGACGCACCAAGTGAGTACCGCAAGCAAGGCAACAATGGTCGGACCTCGGAAGGTGGGTCATACGAACTGGACATTCAAATCCACATTATATATTTCTCATAGGAGAATAATAATCAGTATCAGCCGACGATACGCTGTGTCAGACCTACTCAAGCGGCGTCACGTAAGCCGCGGTAAAGACGACGGGGTGAACTGCAAGGTGTGTTTATGGTCTCGCAGTAGAAAAGCAGAGTCAAGTAGATAGCTTTTCGAGTTACAGGAGGACGCAATTTTCATCTAACATTAAAAAAGATGTCGTTTTAGGTGAGAAAGTCTTGCTGAATGACCATGCGCTTGGCAAGTAGCACTTGCCAAATTGTTTCTACAGAGAGCTTAAGCGGGAAGTTCTTTTAAGAAATCTCAGAAAATACATTTTATGCAAGAAAGTTTTGAGACCGCCTGCAACGAACTTGCGACTAGATGGTAAAACTTGTCAGATTCGGGTTATTATCAGAGGGGGACCTTTCTTTGAGAAAACTTAAATACGTAACAGAGATTTGGCAGATCCGATTTTTGAGCTCCTCAAAGTCAATAAACCGGAAAAAACTGGAATCAACCTAAGGCAGTTCTCGATTAACGGAGTTCTTAAGAGTTAAAATGTATAATGGAAGTGTGGCGGGTTTGTCTGGTAGGATTAACGTGTGGCGGTATCATTATAGTCTAGAAGCAGAGCCCCCGTTTCAAATGCTGGGCATTATTAGGCAGCTATAGGAACATATAAACATATTTAAGTCATTCGATCCAAATAATGATCTCTGGCACCCATATTAAAAAATGGTCGTCAAGCTGTAAAACGGTCACCCAACGCACCTTCGTAACCAGAGAGCCGATATTAACTTTTCAAAGCTTATTTGACTTCGTTTTTTAAAACAAACATTTTATGATTACTCATTCTTTGAATAATTTAGCAGTTATTCAGATATGCTTAGTGTTGCATGGTAGCGTGTTTCACGCTCTTGAGTGGACCACATTTCACAGATTCTCTCGAAATGTATCTTAATACGCTGAATATCGTGATTCCCGAATGAGTCAACTTACTTGACGCCATTTTATTATTGCATGTAGGGGTGTTTCACTCTCCTACATGGATCGCATTTTTCAAACGCTCAAGAAATCTATTTTATCTGGTAATTATTGAAGCTACTGAAACGGTCAACAGCGATATATCTCTCTATTTCGCTCTCTATTGCCGCCATCATAGCTACGTATAAAACAAAGTGAACTTTGAGAAAAACCAGTTGTCATAGGCAACCCTGTACGATCCTCACTCTGTATGCGCTAAGTGAGAATATATCACTTTGTTGTAAGTCCTCCAATATACGGACCTCATTATGTTAGGAGCTCGGTCGGTCCTCACTTTGTCCGATATACAAGTCATACGTGTATACTCGCCTCTTTTAGATATAACAGTGGCGTGCTACCAGATCATGTCTAAAACCGCATTTGTAGCTGCATTCCTTCTGGTGGTCCTCACTTTGTATGATATATATATATATATATATATATACCATATATATATATATATATAACTTGAGACGTGGTCATTGTCGTCTAGACCAGTTAGGTGAAAAATTAAATCTTCCGCCTTTTGTTGGGTACTTCGACAAAATTTAAGCAAAGAGGACTCTTTATACTTTTTTTAATTCTCTCTAGCTTTCAATGGACTTTGCCATCATCATCAGGAGCTGCAATTACAATGATAACAATAGCAACAAAAGTGTAAAATGAATTTAAATTGAATCAAAGTACAGTAGTATGTGAGGATGTTGCTAATTGTTGTTTTCGAATAGGATGAGGGAAACGTCCAGTAACATGGTGAGAGCTGGATACATGGTTCAATGGTTAAAATTATATGAAATATGACAAGACAAGTTAAAGACAGATTAAAAATTATTTAGAAAACATTAGAGCATTACGTCGTGAAGCCACTTGATGATTGCACAAAATGGTGGTCATGGAATAATGAGTGAGATGAACCTTTGACAGAAGGCCGAAGGTTGTCAATGTCTGTGTTGAAAGATGGAACGAATTGTGGGCGTGTGCCAAAACGTTGCCAAATCACTTCAAGTTCATAGTCGACGGCGTTCGTTTAGCAGATTAACAAATTAACATAATATGTCAGGACGCGGAAAAGGCGGTAAAGTTAAGGGAAAGGCAAAGTCCCGATCCAGCAGGGCCGGCCTACAATTTCCCGTCGGTCGTATCCACAGGTTATTGCGAAAAGGGAATTATGCTGAACGCGTCGGTGCCGGAGCTCCCGTATATCTAGCGGCCGTTATGGAATACTTGGCCGCTGAAGTTTTGGAATTGGCAGGCAACGCTGCTCGCGACAATAAAAAGACCCGTATTATACCACGTCATCTGCAATTGGCCATCAGAAACGGCATTTTATGATTACTCATTCTTTGAATAATTTAGCAGTTATTCAGATATGCTTAGTGTTGCATGGTAGCGTGTTTCACGCTCTTGAGTGGACCACATTTCACAGATTCTCTCGAAATGTATCTTAATACGCTGAATATCGTGATTCCCGAATGAGTCAACTTACTTGACGCCATTTTATTATTGCATGTAGGGGTGTTTCACTCTCCTACATGGATCGCATTTTTCAAACGCTCAAGAAATCTATTTTATCTGGTAATTATTGAAGCTACTGAAACGGTCAACAGCGATATATCTCTCTATTTCGCTCTCTATTGCCGCCATCATAGCTACGTATAAAACAAAGTGAACTTTGAGAAAAACCAGTTGTCATAGGCAACCCTGTACGATCCTCACTCTGTATGCGCTAAGTGAGAATATATCACTTTGTTGTAAGTCCTCCAATATACGGACCTCATTATGTTAGGAGCTCGGTCGGTCCTCACTTTGTCCGATATACAAGTCATACGTGTATACTCGCCTCTTTTAGATATAACAGTGGCGTGCTACCAGATCATGTCTAAAACCGCATTTGTAGCTGCATTCCTTCTGGTGGTCCTCACTTTGTATGATATATATATATATATATATATATATACCATATATATATATATATATAACTTGAGACGTGGTCATTGTCGTCTAGACCAGTTAGGTGAAAAATTAAATCTTCCGCCTTTTGTTGGGTACTTCGACAAAATTTAAGCAAAGAGGACTCTTTATACTTTTTTTAATTCTCTCTAGCTTTCAATGGACTTTGCCATCATCATCAGGAGCTGCAATTACAATGATAACAATAGCAACAAAAGTGTAAAATGAATTTAAATTGAATCAAAGTACAGTAGTATGTGAGGATGTTGCTAATTGTTGTTTTCGAATAGGATGAGGGAAACGTCCAGTAACATGGTGAGAGCTGGATACATGGTTCAATGGTTAAAATTATATGAAATATGACAAGACAAGTTAAAGACAGATTAAAAATTATTTAGAAAACATTAGAGCATTACGTCGTGAAGCCACTTGATGATTGCACAAAATGGTGGTCATGGAATAATGAGTGAGATGAACCTTTGACAGAAGGCCGAAGGTTGTCAATGTCTGTGTTGAAAGATGGAACGAATTGTGGGCGTGTGCCAAAACGTTGCCAAATCACTTCAAGTTCATAGTCGACGGCGTTCGTTTAGCAGATTAACAAATTAACATAATATGTCAGGACGCGGAAAAGGCGGTAAAGTTAAGGGAAAGGCAAAGTCCCGATCCAGCAGGGCCGGCCTACAATTTCCCGTCGGTCGTATCCACAGGTTATTGCGAAAAGGGAATTATGCTGAACGCGTCGGTGCCGGAGCTCCCGTATATCTAGCGGCCGTTATGGAATACTTGGCCGCTGAAGTTTTGGAATTGGCAGGCAACGCTGCTCGCGACAATAAAAAGACCCGTATTATACCACGTCATCTGCAATTGGCCATCAGAAACGGCGAAGAATTGAACAAACTGCTTTCAGGCGTCACAATTGCCCAAGGAGGAGTTCTCCCTAATATCCAAGCTGTTCTTTTGCCGAAAAAGACGGAGAAGAAAGCCTAAAAAAAATCTTCTGAACATACAATTTATATATATCATCAAAAGTGTGATGCTCCAGCGACGACTATGAATCTGAAACAGTTCTAGCGAATATCGTAAACGATTGCAAGTATAATGCACCTATCTTACTATTGCTGGCTTGACATTTGACTGATTTTACGAGAAAGCTTCATTCACAAATTTGGGTGTGCTCTTTGCATCTGAGTCAC